GGGGTAAGCTGTGGCTCAGGGAATTTGGCCATGTTGAGGACGCCGGAGGCTGTCTCACAGAGCAAGAGCAAACGGGGTTCTTGAAACTTCTGGGATTCAGTGCCAGCCCTCGTGATCTTGCCATTTCCAGTGTGATCTGCCTTATGCTGGCGTCCAAACCTAGTGGAGCCTGGTGAGCGGGTGGGCCTGGATAGCCCCCAGGGTGCCTTCCAACTCCAATATTCTGTTCTATGTAAAATGCTGAGTGGGAAGTGTTGATGAGGTTTAATACCGAGTAATTTTCTTAGGAGCTTGAATATGTCATACGTTTCTTTTTCAGCTTTTGAAATGATTCACTTTTATGACACATGAACAAGACAAGACTTTTATTCACTAAATAACCTTAAGATAAGACTTTTATTCACTAAATAACCTTAAGCATAATAGCAAGTGAGGAGGATGGAGTTATCTTTAAGGGCTGTTCTGCAGTGCCGCCCCATCAGCAAAGCCAGGTACACGGTGAGAAGAAGCTATTTAGGGCAGGACAGATAGGAACATTCCCAGCAGGGCCTTCGCAATGCTCCAGTTACAGTTCCTAGTTAGGAGAAATGTCCTGAGGTTGCACAGGTGAAAAGGTGACCTGGAGGTTCTCGGCCCTCTTGGGCTTTAATGCCAAAGCTTGAAAGCTGAGGCTGACCCTTTACCACTGGCATCCAGCCCAGAGTCTGACCTGGGGCAAACAGATGCCTGCCAGTTTTAAGTTCTCCAGTTTTTGTTCTATGGGCCTCTGGCCTGAATGTCAGGTCACTAACAGGCTCCCAGTTGGAGAAACGTGCCTCTAGGCTTGGGTGCTCCGAGAGGTATCGGCTTCTGCATGGACTTGGGGAGCAGCCCCACCTGGGTGCCAGCGCAAAGGCAGACTGTACACCCCTCAGGCTCATCCGATATGCGATGGGCTGTCCTGCAGCTGTGTGCTGTGCACCTTTGTGCTCTGTGCCCAGCTCAGGACTGCCTGAGGCCTAGGCTCAGACTGCTCTATCTGTTGTCCCAGACAGAGCCGGCTGTCATCTGCTTGCCCAGAAGGCACTCATCTCCAACCTGGGTCAGAGTCCTATTTTCTCCAGGAACTCGTAAGTAACCTATCTCTGAGCCCCAGTTTCTGCTTCTATAAAATGTAGACTTTGTTCTATAAATATTGAGTGCCTGATACTACCCAGATGCTGCCGCCTAAGGCATTTTGGATACAGGGGGGACAATGGTGACAAACAGGACCCTCCCCCATAAGGTCCTAGGAGGATTCCCTAAGATAATGTATGCAAAATGCTCAGCATCTTGTCTGACCCTAGTAGGTACTCACTACCTGTTAGCTCTAATGAGTTTCCTCCAAAGATGCTAGGAAGTCTCTAAAAGCATGGCCTTTCCTACTGTGGTCTGTGCACATGTGTTTCTCTCTGCGTAGAAGGCCCTTCCTCACTCTTTGTCTAGCTAACTCCGTGCATCCAGTTCTTGGGATAAATAGTCACTTCTTCAGGGTAGGCTCTTTCTGACCTGCTCAGGTTTAGATCCCCCTGTTGTGTGTTCCCAGGGCAACTGGCACAATACTTTGGGGTATTCATCACTTTGGTAACTACTACTTGTTTAGTGTCTATTTTCCCAACTGGATATAAACCTGGTGTCAACGGCATCCATGTCTACCTGAAGTCTCAGTGCACAGCTTTGAGATTCTCCATAAATATCTCACCAACTGGATCTTCCCCTTCAAATGAGAAAATTGCACTGGATTGGAAATGGAGAATTTGGCCCACTAGGAGCACATGGTCCCTTTTTACCCTCTTCCTTTTCGCTCTCCCACCATGAAGATGAGAGATGTCCAAGAAATGGCTGAAAAAAGGCCATGCCCTGAGTGGCACCCACATCTCCCTGGAAGCAGCAGGTGGTCAGGGAACAAAGGATGGTGAGCTGGGTTTCCAGTGAACAAGCACTTAGCACCCACTCGGGAGCCTGCTGGGAACAGGGCACCATGTTCCATCGTCACACCCTCGTCTGTTCTCACCACAGCCAAGCAGTGTGACTTGAGGAGGATATCTTGTCTCTTGTAACAGTAGCAAGTAGAAGCTTGACTTAATGAAAGTAAAGCCTCAAGAGTAGAATGGTGTCAGCAGTAGAGATGTAACCATGCTGATGTTTCACTCTGTCACTGAGTGTGAAGGACGCCTCCAGCCTCAGTACTTTGCTCAGAACTTGGCAAGCATACAGCCATGTATGTGTGACTCACTAGAAATGTGAATGCTCTTGCCCTTTTGTGCCCTGTGAGTTTTAACAAAGCAGCAATGTGGCCTGACCCTAGTGGTTTTCTTTTGGCCAGAATCCAAACCCTCCGGGCAGTGCTGGACTTTCCACATGCATTCCTGCCGGCCCACCGTACAGAACGACAGGGCAGTCCTCTGTGCCAAGCCACTCCAGCTTCCACGACTCTGGCCAGGCTGTTTCCTCGACCAGAAGTCCCTGCCTTCCATGTGTACACACACACACACACACACACACACACACACACACACACCCCACACAGTATATTTAATGCCGAACCTCACTCAATTTCAAGACTAAGATGAAATTAACTCCTCTGATCACCTGCCTTCCCCCAAATTGGAATTAGGTGGTTTTATTCCTAATCCTTATAACAATGTAGTGAGGTTATTTATGAACTTCCCCCGTCACTACACTGATGACAGAAACCAAATCTTGTTCATATTTCATCCCCTTCAACTACCATAATGCTTAGCACACTGTAGGTGCCGAATGCATGAAGGCAGGAAGCTCAGCGTTGGCAAGGTGTGTCCCGGCCAGTGGGTCAGCCAGAATCCTAAGGGCAATGGATGTGCCGGAAACCACCAGTGCATACTTGTGTGGACAGACTGTTGAACCAATGAGGAGTCATTAAAGGCCTGTGGGCAAGGAAATGGCATGAGGAAGTAGTCATTTGGGTACATCTCTGAGGGCATCATGGGTATGATGAGGTTAAAGGAAAGATCTTAAACCCCTTCTACAGATGAGAAACCTGAGGCTTGGAGGAGTTAAATGACTTGCCGAAGCACACACAGCTAGTAAGCAAAGGAATCTGGTTTAGAATCTAGATCTGATTTCAAGGTTTGTGTTCTTAAATATTATGTAAGAATTCAACCAAATCTGCAAACACCTTCTTGAACTAGTGTCCTTTAGATCTTCAAGGAATGTTATCTCGGCTGTATTAGGTTTGACTCCAGAGTGTCACTAGCTCTGGCTGGACCTCAGTTTCCTCTTCAGTAAAATGAGGAGAATTGAGCTAGTTGACACTAAGCCCACTTTTAAGCTCTGAAATGCTATGATTCGCTGTAGATTACAAAATGAACTTCCTAATCTGGAAATCAGCTCAGTCAAAATATGGTATATTGTATAATATTGTATAAAGGATATTGTATATCCTTTTCAAGGGCTGCAATCATGACTCTAACACACACACACACAAAGCTGTGAAATATTATCTTAGAGAACTGATGGTTCTTCTCAAATGAGTATTTAAAAATATGCTCAGCCATTAAAGTGTAACTTTTCCAAACTCACAGAAGTTTGTGTTTATCTGAATTGTTTACTTAAGTCACGGCAAAGTTGCCACTCGCTCATCATGCTCTCTGTGTAATTCTGAACATCACTGAAATTAAGTTCAGCATTGCATTCCCCGTATCTGTAGCATCACACCCCATGCCCCCAGCTCAGCCCATCACGTAAGTCTCAATCAGACGTACATGTAGTTCTCTGACTTCAGACTGACTCTTAGGGTGGAACACATCTGAAAATGTCTGTGTGGTTCAGAATGAACTCTGAAATGAAAAGTTTCCACCCATACCACTGAATAACATCCTGTTGTTTTGGTTTGTTGGGTTTTTTTCTCCCCATTAAATCTGTGCAATAACTCCTTTGATTTGGCTTTCATTTGGAATGATCTGCCTGATGCCATTTTTCTGAAACATTCGGAACAAGATACAATCTCATTATAGTCAGCTACATAGAGTGGACCTTTCAGAGCATAAAGAAACATCTGTCCTCCATCTGTGGTGCCTGAAAAATAGGACTTTCAATAGAATACTTTGTAGGACACTAATGCTTTTAAAGGGCAAGAAATCCATTTCTGACTTTAAAATCTCAATAAATACATCTAACAGAATATTTTTATCTTACGTATTGTTTTTCAAGAGCATTTCAAAAGCCACTGTAGCAGAGTGGTTTAATAAAAATATAATCTCCAGATTCAGCCAGGCCTGGTTCAGATACTTGCTCTGTGATGTGTGATACTAGCTATACGATCCTGGACAGTTATTTAACTCTAATACTTTTAAGTTTTCTCAGGGATGTAAAATAAGGAGAATACTAGTATCTACCCCAAGAGACAATATTTTAAAGGGACTGACACATAGAACAGCTTGCTCAGACAGAAGGAAAGAAGCCTTGGAAATGGAGGCTCACTAGTTGCAGTTTTCAAACAAAGGGTTGGAGACCAGGTCCCAGCCATCACAGAAACACGGAGGGAAAGTGATCAACATGGAATGTAATTTAGTTATGTATTTTTCCTTATGAACCTTGCTAACCCTATCCTATTACAGAGAAACTCACTACAAAAGGGACTATGTGATGCATAGTTGGTTTAATAAACACACAAAAAGTTCACTTAAAATTGTGTTAATAATATGAGCTATTAATTATAAATCCTGTTTTCTATTTGAAAGCTTGCAAAGCAAACTCTACCTTGATTTTTAAATAGTGCTTTTAGAAGATGAAATAAATAAACATCAGTTGTTGCTCTTGTTTTGTTATTGCTACTGTTAACATTAGGAGCAGAATGGCCTGATCCCTGATGCCGCTGAATAGACACAGGATTTGGAATGAGGAGAACTGAATTTGCACTTCCCCACTGCCATTTGCTAGTCAGGTGACCCTGGGGAAATCACTGAATGCTTCTCAACTTAGCTTCCTTGTCTGTAAAACAGGGAAAGTAAAAATAGCCAACTCACAGATAAAACTATGAATTTCAAATAAGGTGATTTATGTGAACTTACTTTGCCAACTGCTAAACTCTTCATATATGTGCATGATTTTGTTATTGTTAATGTTATAGAATAAATGCTTGTGTTCCCTGAACTTTATACATTGAAACTCTAACCCTAATGTGATGGTATTAGGAGGTGGGGTCTTGGGGGGTAATTAGGTTTAGATAAGGTCACAATATAGCAGCCCCATGTTAGAATTAGCATTCCTATAAGAAGTGATCAACAGCTCTTTCTCTGCCACATGAGGATACAGCAAGTAATCAGCCATCTACAAACCAGAAAGAGGGCCCTCACTAAAAACTGAATCTGCCAGCACCTTGATCTTGGACTTCTCAGCCTCTGGAACTGTGAGAAACAGATGTCTGTTGTTTAAGTCACCCCATCTATGATATTATCACAGCTCAAACTGAATGAGACCATTAGTGACAACACCAGAACTGAAGAATATATTTAATTTTTTTACTCAGAAATTTTCATTTACAAAAATCTGAGCAACGTGCTTAAGTGATTATAACTGATTTCCACTTAGCCACAGAAGGGAGGATTATGTGGATCGGCTAAGGTAGCACTGGGTGCAGAACGGCTGCCAATAAAACACCATCTTAACTATGGGCTCATCTTAGACATGGCCTCTGTGAACATTTAAAACGTGTCCTGCTCAAGAGCCAACATGTCTGAAGAGGTGCTGAGACGGAAAAGGGCTGTCAACTTGCCCCTCGGGCGCTGTTTTGCATGTTGTAAATGTTAGTTTTTCAGATTATATCTCCCCTCTTTTCCCAGAGCATTCAAAACAACTGGCAATTCAGCTGCTCTCTGCCTTTCTGCGTACCTGCTCCCCTTTGTCCGTCCCATAGGGTGGAAGTCACTGGGCTTGGGATTTTGACATCAGTCAGACTTAAGTTAGAATCCTGCCTCCTCAGCTTTCCAGCTGTCTTATATTGAGCAAGTCAGGTAACTTTCCACACCTCAGTTTTCTCATCTGCAAAATGGAGAATAATAATAGCCATCTTCCAGAGTGGCTGAGAAAATTAAGACAGTACATTTAAAATTATTAGTTATATCTGACACCCAATAGGTACTCATCACCTTACCTTTCTTTCCTTGAATCTTCTTCTTACCCATGTCTTGATCCCTGTACCTGATTATTGATGCTTCTCTGAGGCCTTTGGTGAGATGATCACTAACAGAGTCAGTGGCTAATGTGAGCCTGTAAGAAAGTGTCCCTGGGAAAACATTAATCAATATTCCTAAACTAAAACTCTTGCATCAGGTCTTTACAAACCTCAGTAAACGCAATAGACTCTTACTGAGAATATTTGCTAATCGAATATTTGAAGAGGTGTGTGTGTGTGTGTGTGTGTGCGCACACACACGCATGCACATGTATGAGCTTGGATATTCACAGAATATTTCCAGTGGATGCCCAAAAAGCTGGTAATGCTATATACATTTTATCTGCATATCTTTTTGTATTTTGTATCATATGTACATATTTCTACTCAAAAAACAATTATTGATACTTTAAAAATGTTAGTGATGTTGCAGTAAGTTCTTGCTCTAGGTATTCTAATAAGAGTTCCTTAATGCCTTCAATATCAATATAGGCTCCAAAACTTTCTAATATATAGACAAGGCAAATTGTGGTTCTTGAAGCTGAAAACTATGGTCTGAGCTAGAGGAGGAGGTTCTGTGGCCTCCTTGCCATAGAATGTTTGTAACCTCTTCCCCCAAAATTTGCAAAATAACTATTTTTCATCAATAATAGTAGCAATGAATGTCAAGAACTTATTACTACATGTCAAGCACTGTTTTGTGTAGCTTCACAATTAACTCAAGTTAATTTTCACAACAATCTTATGAGGTAAGTCATATCATCATCTATATTTTACATATTAAAAAATTGAGTCTCAGAAAGTTTCCTAACCATCAGTGACAGAGCTAAGATTGAAACCTGTTACATTATCAGTTTATTACAAGAGGCATAGGACTGTTATAAGGATTAAATAAAATAAGACATATAAAGTGCTTAGAGCAGTATTGGTTGTAGTAGCACTCCACTGTAAGTACCAACATTAACATTCTGTAGTCAGGGAGAAATGTTGTAAGTTAGAAACATGATTGAATCAACAAAAGTACATGAAGTTATCTTAATAAACTGAAATGCAAATTAAGATCCCATTTATTCTGTGACTAAAAGCTACACATTTTTCAAGATAATTTTTACTTTGTTTTTCTATGTTTGCCACTTGCTTGAAAACCCCCTGCTACCAATTCCAAGTTATTTGTGCCCCATTCCCAATATTTTCTGTGCTCTTTCATCACAGGGAAATTTTAACATAAAAATCAGAGAAAGATAATATTTTTAAATGTAGCCATTAGGATGACTACCCACATAAGCAAAAGTTTATGGATATAAAATTCTTGATGTTACTAGATCTTTCCTTTGTGCTTTTTACTGAGTGATGTTTCTACCTGTGGGCGGTGAGAGCAGGTAGAGCACAAAGAAAGTCTGAGATCATCTGTCTCCAACATGTACAGGAATAGCAGCCACATAACTGCTTGCTATATAAAGCAAAAGAACAAGTAATATCTGAGCCTGACTGACAGAAAACACACCCATGTTTTTGCAGTCGAATGTCAGGCTCACAACAATATAAAGCAAGAGAGGAAAATACCTCCCTATTGCCTCTAGAACTGCCCTGTCCAATGTGATCACCAGTAGCCACATGTGGCTATTGAGGTCTTGAAATGTGGCTTGTTTGAATGAAGATGTTCTGTAGGTATAAACTACACACTAGATTTCAAAGAACTAGTTAAAAATGGAACAAAATATATCAGTTTTTAGATCAATTGTATGTTGAAAGGATATTTGGGTTATATTGGATTAAATAGTATGTATTATTAAAATTAGGTACTTCCATTGCTGATAGAAGAAGATGGCCAAGATGGCGGACTAGAAGCAGCCTGCACAATGCTGTTCTCATGGAGAAGTTCAAAAGTGGTGGAGAGATACCTACCTTTGGATGTATCCTGAGTGAGAGCATGGAGAATCCACAGAGAGAGGGAGGGAGAGAAATGAAGAAGATAGAGGTGGGACAAGCTGCTCAGCAGGACTAGAGGTAACTAGGGGAGGTGCCCACACATGAGAAAGAGATAAAGGAGAAAACCCTGGGCTCCACACTTCCCCTAAGGACCCTGCAACCAAAGCAGCAGGAGGGCCCCTCCACCACAGCAGGCCACTGGACTGATACAGAGACCTGATTGGAGGCTGTGCATCTGCGTTGTTCCAGAGAGAAAGGAGGGCTGGCTTGTGAGCCATGGGCTCTATGGCTGGTGCCATTGTAGCATCCCAATCCTGGAACACTTCTTTTGCTCAGGCATCAGACCTATAACTGCTACCTTCCCCTTGCCCCTGCCAGGCAGGGAGGGAGCAGGGAATCCCAGTGTTTACATCAGCCCCCTGGGCAAGTGATGTGCATCCCCACCACTGCTACCTCCAGGGGCCCTGGGGTAGCAGAGCAGGAGACCACAGGGCCTGTGCCTTCTGCTGAGGTCTGGGCAGTCCCACTCAACCACACTTCCTATGAGACTCTAGTGGAACAAAAGCCAGCATAGCCACAACCTTTGGATCTAGGCAGACTGTACTCAACTGACCTGTTCCATCTAGCTCAGGTTCCCTGAATGCTGCACCCTGCATGCACCCTGCCCCATAGCCACCCTGACCCATATGCATGAGCACCACACCTTACAAACCAGCTCCATCCCATGTAGGCACCCTACCCTGTAGGTCTGCTCTGTCCTGGGTCCCCACTCTACTCCACACATGAGATATGATCTGCTGGGCTACTCTGCACTAGGGGTCTACTTCACCCCACACCGCATGTGCCTACAGGGTCAGTATGCCCTGCACACCTGTTACACCCTGCACCACACCCTGCACTGACCTCACCATGCTCATACACCTAGCACCTTTGCTACCAGGGCTGCATGTGTGTGTGTCATGACTAGCAGACTTTCTTTATCCCATGCATGTGCCCCTTCCTGTTGTCCAGCCCTGCCATGCATGCACACTTGGCACCAGAGACTGGCCCTGCCACAGCAGCCTGATGACAACCACAGGGGAACAGGGGAGATGAACCAGAACAGCAACATTAAAGGCTCGTAGTGCATCCATCCCTCTCTTGCCTGGTCAACCTTCCAGAGTAAGACCCAAGCACACAATCTAAGGACCCATACCTATCTTTACTGAGCAACAGAAGTCCTAGAAAAGAACAGGTGTACCATATCTGCTATCTGTTTCAAGCTGAGAGAATAGGCCCAAGATGAGAAGGAATCACCATAAAAACTCTGGCAACATGAAAAAACAGACTATCTCAGCACCCCCAAAGGATCACAACAGTTCTCCAACAATGAACTACAACCAAAGGAAATTGTTGAAATGACAGACATGGAATTCAGATTATAGATGACAAGTAAGATTAATGGAACTGAGTAAAGCAGTAGAAACCCATCTCAAAGAAACCAAAAAAATAATTTAGGACATGAACAAAAAATTCACTAAAGATATAGATAACATTTAGAAAAGAGATAACAGAACTTAAAGAAATGAAAAAGTTATTTATAGAATTTTAAAATAAGACAGAAAGCATTAACAACAGGCTAGACCAAGCAGAAGAAAGAATTTTAGAGCTTGAAGACAAGAATTTCAAAATCACCCAGTTAATAAAAATGTACAACAAAAAATAAACAATCACTGAGAAATATGGGATTATACAAAATGAATAAATACAAGAATTACAGGTATCCCTGAGAGAGAAGAAGAAAAATAAGCCTCAAAAACCTACTTGAGAGAATAATAAAGAAAAACTTCCCTGGTATCACAGATACAAGATGGTCATTGAATGCCTGGAAGATTCATAGCAAATAGGACAATCAGCAAGACACACAGTCATCAGCCTGACCAAAGTCAAAGTGAAGGAGAAAATCCTACAAGCCACAGGATGAAAGCAACAAATTATTTTAAAAGGAAAACCCATCAGACTAACAGTGGACCTCTCAGCAAAGACCTTTCAAGCCAGAAGGGATAGGGGTCCTATTTTCAGTCTTCTTAAACAGAATAACTACCAGCCCAAAATTTTGTTTCCTGTAAAATTAAATTCCATAAATGACAGAGAAGTAAGACCCTTCCCGGAGAAGAAAACACTAAGGGAGTCTGTCACCACTAGACCTGTCTTACAGGAAATGCTTAAAAGTACTTTGTGTATGAAAAAGAAACAATCAGTACCCACCAATATAAAAACATCTGAAAGTTAAAGCTCACAACTCTTATAAAACAGTAACATATGGAAGAAAACAAAGCAACTAAGTATTATTCAACATGATGAACAGAGCAGTACCTCTCATATAAATGCTAGCATTGAATGTAAATGGACTTATTATTACTTTTAAAAGATATAGACTGGCTGAATGGATGATAAAACACACCCCAAGTATCTGCTGTCTCCAGGAAACCCATCTAACTCACAAGGATATTCATAGAATCAAGCAAAAGGGATGGAAAAAACTTATTCCATGCAAATGGAAACCCAAAGCAAGCAGGAATAGCTATTCTCATAGAGATAAAATAGACTTTAAATCAACAATGGTTTAAAAAAAAAGATCATTATATAATGATAAAGGGAACAATTGAGCGGGAAGATATAACAATCCTAAATATATATGCACCTAACACAGGAGCTCCCAGATTCATAAATCAAATACTACTATATCTAAGCAAAAATATAAAAAGCAACATCCTAATTGTTGGGGACTTCAACACTCTACTGACAGAACTGGACAGATTGTTGAAGCCAAAGATCAACAAAGACAGATTGGCCTTAATCAGGACTCTAGAACAAATGGACGTAATAGATATCTGCAGAACATTTGACCTAAAAACTGCAGAATATACATTCCTCTCAGCACATGGGACATTTGCCAAGATAGATCATATGTTAGCCCACAAAAATCAAAAAACAATAGATGGTTGTGTGGATGCAGACAGAAAGGAATGCTTTTATACTGTTGGTAAGACTACAAATTAGTATAACCTCTATGGAAAACAGAATGGAGATTCTTCAAAGAATAAATGTAGACTTATCATTCAATCCAGTAATCCCACTACTGGGTGTGTACCTGAAAGAAAAGCAGTAATTTTATCAAAAAAGACACTTGCACTTGAATGTTTATCACAGCACAATTCACAATTACAAAGATGTGGAATCAACCTAAGTGCCCATCAATTCACGAGTGGATAAAGAAAATGTGGTACATAGTATGGAGTACTACTCACCAATAAAAAGGAATGAAATAATGTCTTTTACAGCAACTTGGATGGAACTAGAAATCATTATCCTAAGTGAAGTATTCTCAGGAATGGACAAACACACACCACGTGTACTCTCTAATAATTGGAAACTCAATCATGGGTGCACACGGGCACAAAAAGATGTAAAGGACATTGGAAACCAAGAATGGGGAAAGGCATGAAGGTGGGTGTGAGATAAAAACTTGCCTATCAGGTACAATGAACACTATTCTGGGGGTAGGCATACTAAAAGCCCTGACTTACCCATAGTATGATGTATCCCATGTAACAAAAACATTTGTACCCCCTTAATATTAATTCAAAAGAATAATAAACTATAGCAGAAAGAAAAAAATTAATTTCATTGATTTCTTTTTACTTTTTAAAATGTGGATGCTAAAACATTTAAAATTATCTGTGTGGCTTACATTATATTTCTACCAGGCATTGCTGCTCTAAAATAAACTCTAAACTTTACCTTGACCTGACCTTTGAGTCTCCAGTACCTTAGAAACACTAGTACATAAAGTAACAAAATTCAAGTCTGCAAACAGGTACATTTATTATGTACCTACTAAGAGAATGAAGATTAATAATGCAGAGTTCTTGTCCTTAAGAAAAAGAAAGTAAACTAAAATTCAGTGAGCCCTATTGTGGGCCAGGCCTTGGGAATCCCTGCAAGCTAGTACTGTAATTTCTACCACAAAACTCACCTCCAGCCTTCAGAGCCACCTCTATTTTGGGTCCAGAATCTTCTCCAGACAGATATGAGCACAAACATTCTCTTCCCCATGGTCTTCTCTACACCCTTGGTCATAAGCACCCTCTTTCCAACTCTAGCCTAGAACTATCCTAAAAAAAAAAAAACAAGTAAGTAGGCAAATAGATATGTGCTTCCCATATTGTATAGTCCAGAGAAGGGACTTATTTTTACTTGTACATTTGTGAAACTTTGAAATCCCACTAGGTAATCAACTGTAAGGAGATAATAGTGCCCATGCTAGGAAAGCACAGAAACTGAGTTATTTACTTCTCAATCAGTTCAGTTTCTCACCATATAGCATCAGAAGAGATTACTCTTATTTTTCTTGAAGACAAAAGCAGTCATCATCTTAGATTTTATTGCATTTTGCAAGTTCTGTTGTTTGATGGGTGACATGTTTTTATTTTATCCGTCCGGATTTCTAACTGGCACCTGAAACTTAGTATGTCCAAAAGGAAATTCCAGATTTCCCACACTCCCACCTGTACCTCTTACACTATTCCCCGTCCCAGAAAATGGACTCTATACTTTTCAGCAACCAAGCTAAAAACTTTGGTGTCATCCTTGACTCCACTCTCTTTCACACTCCCACATCCAATCTGTCAGCATATCCTTTCAGCTCTACCTTCAACATAACGCATTAACCAGCATCAGCCCCTTCTGATCACCTGACACCGATTATCCTTGTGCAAACCATGGGGTCTCCCTCAGATTACTGTGATGCGTTCTAACTTTGTCCCCTTCAGTCGACTCTCAGCCTCAGCACAGCAGCCAGTATAACCTTGACACAACTGAGATCACATCGCCCCTCTGTGAAAAACCCTGCAGTATGAGAGTGACCACAGCCAAATTCTCTTTGGTGGTGCCCAAAGGCCCACATTCACTGACTCCAGCTGCATTGGACTCCCTGCAGCTGTTCCTCAAGAACACCAGGTAGTTTCCAACCCCAGTTCCTCCAACCAAAATGCTCGTCCTCCACATGGCTCACTCTCACCTCCTTCAGGCCTTTCCTCAACTGTCTCTTGTCCTTGCCCTGCCCAAATACTCCTTTCCTCTGCTGTAGGATTCTTCATAACATCTATCACCAGCTGGCGTATTACGTCTTCTACTCATTTTTTATTATTTATATCCCCCAAACAGAATATTAACCACACAAAGGTGGGGATTCTGTTTTGTTCATTGCTATCTCCCCAGTTCCTAAAATAATGCCTGGCACAAAATATATGTTCAATACATATTTGTTAAATGAATGAATGAAATTTTCAGATGAGGACGTTCAGTTTTAGCCCAAGTCAAAGGTCTAGTAAGGTCCAGAGTCAGGAATAGAACTCAGGTCTGTCTGACCCCTGATATCATGCTCATTCCACTCCATCTGGCTTGGGAGATTAGGTGCAGGACTCTGAGATCCAACGGCAAGAACTGGTGAGAGTTGGGATGTGCCGTGGGGCAAGCACACACCAAGATTAAAATGTGAATCCTGCTGGAAGTACTGAGCTAAAACAGAAGCAAGACTTTTGGCAGCATTGTTGACAGTCTCTGAGATCAAGGCAAGTAATTTGAAGACATCTGGTGAAGCTTTCCAGTTTTAAGACTAGCTTTAACTATTTTTCTCTCAGCTATAGCTTTCTGGGATAATGAATGTACCATATGTCTCTATCTCCAGGTTCCCATACAAATTAGGAAACTAAAAATGCCAGATGATTAAAACAGACTTCTGCTTGTTTCCATAGGAAATCAACTGCTGTGAACTCTCAGGAAATGAGAGGGAGAGTGTGTTCAGCTGGAGTTGCTCTCTGGTGAGTGGCTAATGCTGCCTGCAACCCAGGTCCCAGTTCACAGGCTATTCAAAATTTTGTCCCAGTTGAGATGCTGTCCTGGTCTGCCCACCCTGATGGTGGCCAAGAGAGACTATGGAGATTACTGTGCCTTGTCCTACTCCTTTGAGCCTCCACCACCAGAGGGCTGGGCACTACACCCCAGGTCCTCCATGTTAGGTCCCTGGCCAACCATGCCAGGAAGATTTACTAAGACCAAATAGCCACTTAGTATTTAATGCCAGACCCTCAGCTTCATCCTCCTTGTGGTTTCAGAATATTTTGAGCCCTGTTAGCAGGTCTTCTGGAGGATAGAGGGGATGCACCATCCAGGATTCTTGTGGCTACTCACCACTGGGCAGAGTTAATTCAGGGGAGTGGGGAGAGCATTCTGTGAAGCACGGGGCCACGTGTGCCCTGGGCCCCTACAAGGACCTCCCTAGGAGGCTGTGATGATTGCTTGTTCCTGGCTGCCATGGAATCTGCTCCAATTTGCCTAAAGGAGATGATGTTGAGGAAGGAGGCTGCAAAAGGATTTCATTCTTGTCTTGATAGTGAAAATCTCAAACTTGTCTGAGGACAGTTGATTTAGGAGTTGATTCTAGTGTATCCTAACGTGAGGGTTGTTAAATTTCACCCATCGACCTCCTGTAAGTTGAGGAGGAAAAGATAACCTTTCTTTGCTTTATTAAACCAGAGTGTGACTCGGGCATACCATGGTTAGGTTCAAAGCTGGAAACTAGGCAATAAAGGATAGTGTAGAGTTTAAATTTGGATTCGGACAACCCTGAATGCTAATGCTTGTTCTCTAACTTACTGGCTATGAGACCTCAGGGAATTCTGAGCCACAGTTTGTCTTCAAAGTGGACATAGTAATACCTACTCCTTAGGGAGGTTATGAAGATTAAATAAGCTAACATAAGTAAGAGCATTCATCCCAAGCCTGGTAGGCAGCAGATACTCAATGCCTTGTGACTTCTCTTTTTTTCCCCCTATGTTGCTGTGTTTTACTGCCAGAATTGGAAACAGCTTAGTGAGCAGGAAATAGACAATGCCCTCCCTCCCCCATACACCACTATCACCAGTACCAGCAAACCGATTCTTCTCAGAATTGCTATCTAGGATGTAGACAGAGCAGAGGAATTTAAATCTTCCCACACAGCCTCCCCATTTACTTGAAACTTAATAGCCAGGCTTGGTTGTCTTGCCTAGGTAGAATATTTTCCAGAGAAACTAAGTGGCAAATGACACTCATGTTGTCTTCTGCCAAAATAAACCATTCGTGGGACTCCAGGGAATTAAGATCGCAATCATTCCAAATGCTTTCCCCCAGGCTAGTCAGAATATTTTTATTCCTCTTGTCTTCAAATGACTCATGGACATGATTTCTTCACATGAGGCCATGCTAACAGGTTCTATGTAAACCAGATTAGAGGAAGCAGTATCAACATTTTGTGGTCCTGGGAAAGCCCTTAATAAGTCAGTTTTTCCATTACAGCTATGCTATACAAAATAACACTCTAGTGACTTCATCTAGTTCTATAGATTCCAGTAATAGCTACTTAATACTGCCTCTGTTCTGTTTTCACCCTAACCCAATTCTGAAACTGACTACCAGAGTTGGCACAGACTCCACAGGTTAAGAGCAAAGTCCTCCACGAAACAGCCCTCACTTCCCCAGGCCACCTACATTTCTGCCCAACTGGCTACAGATTCAGGGATTCCGATGACCCTGCCGGGCTCAACAATTCATCAGAACAATTCACAGAATTCAAGAAAGCACCGTGCTCATGATTACAGACTTATTCTAAAGGCTGCATCTCAAGAGCAGCCAAATGAAGAGACACACAGGGCAAGGTTGGGGAGAGAACAAAGAGCTCCACACCCTCACCCTGCGGACTCAGGGCATGACGCTCTCTCGGCGTGTCTATGCGCTCACCAACCAGGAAGCTCCACTGAGGTCTGATATTCAGAGTTTTTATTACGGCCCGTTACCTCACATGACTGATTAAATCATCAGTCAAATGATTGAACTCAGGTCCCAGTCCCCTTTTCTTCCTGATTAAGTTTTTAACCTAGGTTGACATGTTTTAAAATTAATGTCCATTTTTACCTTTCAAACAGTCTTTTCAAGTTTATTCGCTTCAGAGCTCAGGGTCCTCCCTCCCCTCTAGATCACAAATTTATGAAGGGTTTCAGGGGTTCTTGGGATGTACCCATGTGTAAACCATGTGTAAAAAAGACCATGTAACATTAATGGGTTAAAACTAGCTATTTCTTCCTGCATACAGATTTCACTAAACAATAAAAGTTGTATTTCAAAATTCTTGATGTGTAGTCTTTTTTCTATAATAGTAACTAAGACACTGAATTGCTCCTATCCACAAAATTTCTACAGTATGACAGTTCTGTAATATGACATATATTTTAAATAAGAATTTCTCAAGAAAAATAATTTCATGGGTTTAAATTTTGGATAGGGTAAAATAATTATTTTAATGTATCATGGATGATATGTTAAATTGAAATAAAAACAAAATATTTTAAAATTACTTACATATTAAGTTAATAAATACTCATTCTATTTACTTTAAAGGTTTATGTATTGAGCTACAAGATTTTGACTTTAATAAAACTGGCAACTGGCAATTCTTTTTTTTTATTTCAAAATATTAAAGTAGTACAAACATTTTTGGTTACATGTATCAATTTTTTTACGCTTGAGTCAGGGTTATAAGTGTGCCCATCAACTAGATAGTGTTCACAGTACCCATTATGTAGGTTTTTACCCACTCCCTCAACCCCATCAATCACTGCTTGATTTCTGCTGAGTTTTTTCTCCCTCTGTGCACATGTGTGCTCATCTGTTAATTCCAATTTAGTAGTGAGTACATGTGGTGCTTGTTGTTCCATTCTTGTGATACTTCACTTACAACAATGGTCTCCAGTTCCATCCAGGTTGTTACAAAAGGAATTAGTTCACTATTTTTTATGGCTGAGTAGTACTTCATGGTATACATATTTACCACATATGGCTTAGTAGTACTTCATGGTATACATACGTACCATATTTTATTAATCCACACATGGATTGAGGGTACTTGGTTGATTCCACATCTTTGCAATTGTGAATTGTGCTTCAATAAACACTCGAGTGCAAATGTCTTTTAATAAAATGACTTTTTTTTCTTTTAGGTAAACACCCAATAGTGGGATTGCTTAATCAAATGGTAGGTCTACTTTTAGTTCTTTGTGCTATCTCCATGCTAATTTCC